AGGGAGGGAGGGAGGGAGGCAGTCGGCCAACTTCGTTTGGAGAAAATTATATTTAAGAAACGGTAAAGATGCGCATTGCCGTTGTTTCAACCTCGTTCCCGCGAGGAAAGAGACAAAAGAAGCAGAAAGCGAAACGTTGGGAGGGAGGACTGGTCTTAGGACAGAAACTAAATCTGCCCGTGTGATTCTTTCGTTGCATCCACGTCGTCTAACCGCGAACCGCACTGTTCGCGATACCGCAATGGCCGACAAAAAGATTCTTGGCATCCGGTGAGGAAGGCTCCAAGCCGTCATTAAATTTCTCGCCAACGAATTTCATTATGTAAACGCAAACATTTTTCGGTCAAAGGCTTTCTAATTTCCATCCGTCCTTCGAACAAAGCGCCTTCGCTTTCTTCAGCGTGGAATTTTGCATGAAAATTTCGCGAAGCTTTGTGAAATTCTTGAGCTCGAAAAAAAGACGCCACTCTCTCGAATTTCTATAGGAGAGAAATTACGGTGGATATGGATGGTTTGGCCCTCGAGGTGAGCACGAAAATTCCAGCACAAACGTTTGAAATGAACGTGGTGGACACGATGATCTATCGTGCAGGAATAGAACGAGGAGAGAAACTGGAAACGAATTAATCTTGAAAGGAAGAGAATTCGAAAAGGATGGGCAATGATTATGATCCTTAGAAATTTTTGGATTGGAAAGAACAAGAAATTATATATTCGAATACCAATGGTTCATCGCGTAATTGAAATAAATCTGAAGCGTGTTGAATAAATTAAATCGTGTTAATTTCTCGAACACCTGTCGTGAAACCTGTCGTGCAACGTAACGCGAGCATCAGGATTTAAGTTTCGGATTATTCATAACTTCGCTGAAAACTAATAAACTCGTTTGAAACTTCTACTCGTTGGGAAACTCGATATCGTGTTAACTTGGAAAAGTTGAAATGTAACTATTCGAGAGAATTTAAATTTTGAGCGTGCATCGACAACCTCGACCTTTATCCACGATTTATCGTCGGCATGATGTTGTCACGTCTGTAAATATGCGGAAATACTGTCGAACCACGTCGTGCCACGTTCGTCGTCTTATCGAACATTTACGATCGACTGTTACAAGAAACGAAGATAGCCTGAGCGCAATTCTCTACAGTAAAAACACGAAGCGTATCGAAAGAAATTTCGACCACGCAAGATATTTAATTCAATGGACGAAAGAGATAATACTCGATCGATAATATCGCAACCGGATTTATCGAATTATTTAATTAGACATATCTTGTACATTTTCAATGATATAAAAATAGTAGAATCCACAAAAATCTAATATATTTTATTCTAAATAAAATTTAACACGTGTATATTCGCGACACATGGTTGAATAGAAATGGACAGAAATTGAAACGACGACGACGTTTGAAGTGAGGGACACCTGTTTAAAAATACCGTTAACCAGCGTTAAGGAGCGCGTGTCCTGGCAGTGGTAATTCTAAATTCACGCCATTATACACAACCACGTTACGTACGTTTTCGCGTAACGAAGAAGGGAACAAGTTGCAACCGACACGATCACGATGGTCATTACATCGTTTATCTCACGGAAATCGTAGACTCGCATCGAAATAAGTAACGCGTTACCCGCACTGAAAGTCTCCTCGTCTCCTGTCGTGCGTGCGTGCCTGCGTCTGCGAGGCGCATGCGTCCGATCATCCCGAAGTGAATATTCAACTGTACACAAACTATATCCAAGGATCGCATAAGAATATATCTATCGAGGCAGGCGTAAATACGCGCAAATAGAGTGTTCCAGAAATACAAGCCGGGCAGGCGGGATCGTGTTTCCGTGAAATTCTCGAACGGCCATCTTCGGCAGAAATGAATCCTCGGATGTAATTACGACACTGGAACATTGGAAATTTGAATAGAATGGATTCTCGTTATAACGCTCGTTCGAATGAAATTTTGTTTCGGACGAAAATTGATTAAAAGTGATTCTCGTCCCTCATTTCCGGAGAGAGATCCGGAACGAAGGTTTAATTATTATTCTTCGCCTTTTACCATTTTATTCTCGACTCATTCTTATACCTCTGTTATTAAACTCGTTATCTATGCTTCTTGTCTAATCATCGTACGAATCAAATTGCGTCGTAAATACATCGAATCGATTATATTTTTACACGATTCCAAATAAATAGGCGTATCACGAGATTCTTTTCGATTTTCTTCGATCAATGAATCGAAAAAAAAGAATTCGAATTTTACGAAGATTAGCTACCGATACGATCGTAGATCGTGTTATAAGCATTTCCTGTTCTCCATGTAGGATTAGCGCATCAGTATGTAATCTAATATGACAAGTATGCTTCTTACACTTCTTCTCTTTTACGAGTCTGTGCGAATCGTTTCTCCTATACTTGTATAATAATGTGACGGCAATCAGCCGATCAATTGGATTGGAAACATCTTTTATAGATGGGAAGATAGAATACATAAATGAAACTCGAGCTACCGTTAATAAAAATAGACAATTTATAACATAGTGTATAGATACGGTATGTGTACGTGTAAACGATCCTGGGTGCGGTTACTATCCAGTGGTCGAACGAATTCTATAGCTTCGTTCGAGCTTAACCTTTTGTTTAGCTAAACCGAAAGGTATTTGAATATCCATCCCATTCTTGGAGAATACTATTAGAATGATGTAAAAATTATTTATTTGAGTTAACGTGGTTCGGGAAACTTACCAATAAATAAGAAAAAAAATTAAAAAATGTATATATAATTGCAAAAAAAAAATAATCGCTAAATTATCGCTAAATTTTAATATAACAACAATAATCACGATAATTTAAATAAAAAACCAGATTCATCGACGGATATCTATTCACAGTTATATCTATACGTTACGTGATAATTGTTATTTTATTTATGAATATGATGAACATAAATATAAGGTAGAATCGATGTTATAACCAGTGCTAAATCACTACCTTTGCTAATAGAAACGCGATACCGTTATCCCGTTAGGTTTAACACATTGGTATATTGACACATTCTATGATCCGAAATTACAAGATAGAAATGATAATATTTACTATCTATTATTTATTATCATTTAATATTTATTACTCGTTCAAATAATAAAATTATGAAATAAACATAAATATTCTGATTTCAGATTTATATCGGACGAAAAAGGAGCGAAGGATATTCGAAAAGACCGCCACGAAGAATCAATATCATCGATAGCAGCGCCAAAGATAACCAATCCAACCAGTTGACCTAATATTACCACTGGTCATACCACGTATAATTTACTTGTGATTTATTTAATATATTCGTGTCATCCACGTGCATACACATCACACACACACGTAAAACTAAGGTATACGTGGAATTAACGTGGAACGAGAGGAACCGCGTTAAATGAAACGCGAATTCTAAAATACGAACGTGATACGTCGCGTCGTATGCATTTCTTCGCAACTCGAGTGTGTTGCGCATGCGACGAAACGTGAGTAACAGCGCTGGCCGAAGTAAGAAAATGACCGCGACATTTCAAATGAAGCGTAAAGAATTGCCAAGAATCGACAATTGCAAAAATTGTGCAAAAAGCTTGCTTTTATCCAATTCGATGTAATTTTATATACTTACAATATCTCGCGTTACATTATACGTATATATGATTTCCTTGTATCAACAATTTCGTTCGTAGACATTTAAAATAAAATAAATCGAAAGTAGAATTTTTTTCTAAGCTACGATAAATTTATATTAAAAAAAAAATATTCAAAAATAGATTAATTAAGTATAAAAAGATATAATATATAATAAAACTAATCAATCATTGTGCAAATCATATCAGCCTTCGGATAATCAATTATAATTTATCAATTTTTCACGGTTCGGTGAGCTCGCGATGGTGGTGCGTGGCGAAACCTACTTCGAAATGAATTTTCCGTTAGCCGAGATCAAATTGATCCTCGTTAACCTTGACATTTCGCGCGGCATTCGATACGGGTTTATTTTAGAAAGGTAGAATGAAACGTGCCACGAGAACTCTGACTCTGTGAACAACGTCTATACGGTGAACTCTAATTACGAATCGCATATTTGAACGATCCATATCCAATATCACTTTTCAAAACAACCTATCGAAACAATCTCTCTGAGAAACATTAACCTACTCCGTTTACACGATATACATCGCCTCTTCTCCACGTATTTGCCATCTACGTTTTCTTTTTTCGAACAAATCTCGTTATTTCAGCCGCTTCCACGTCGAAACCACGGAGAGATCTCGAGGGGGCCAAGACGGGGAGAAAAAATGAGAATCCTCGCGAAGATTTGATACAGTGGAAAAAAAAAATAAAAGAGAAAAAGAGAAGAATCCTTCGAATGTTCGTAAAACCATTGTCCGGTCGAAGAACGCTCGCCGTTTGTCCATACGTTACTTGGGCGAAGATTGCTTCCAAGAAGACGAAGCCTTTAGCGTCGGAGGCAAGTTTCGTGGCTCGCGTTTTACATCGGGTTTTCTTTTCCTAGCGTCGATGGATCACGTACCGACATACGCGCGTTTCAACGTACGTGCAAAACCGACCGACCGACTAGCATTTCCAAGAATTTCCGTTCCCATTGAATCACAATCGACGACCGTGAGAATTCTCGCCAACCCCCTCCCTTCTTCCCTAGATCGATCAGATCCTAGGAATCATCGTTGCTTCACGCACGAGGAACGCGCACGTCACGTGACCGCCGCACTCCTTCTATTGCTAAATTCTCAACGAATCATATCGGAACGAATAACCGTTGGAAAAGAAAGAAGAGAGCGCGGTGGAATGGATAAGAAATTGGAGTCATTCGCTTCGAGATGGAAACAGCGTTTTAATATTAAATACGATTTGGAATTATCGACGGATGATATTAAATAATCGTAGCGATTAGAATCTTCGATCTTCCTTCCTCCTCCCTCCTATTTTATATCGATTAATAATTGAATCGTACACGATTCGTCACGAAGGATAGAGTTATTATTATCAAGTGGCGACAGCTATAGCTTAGCTTCTGAAAACGAATCGAGGATACTCCATATTGACTTGAACTGCGCGTACGTTACGTATACGCGATCCTTGTGCGCAGGTGTTGACGAGCTATCTGGTTCAATCGAAGGAGCCACCGTGGACTTCGTATTTCGTGAGGTACGCCGATGTGGTAAACGATCAGAGGGGGATGTCGCACTTCAATTGGCCGGTGGGCAGCAGCAATTACCACGTATTGAGAACCGGCTGCTTTCCATACATCAAGTATCACTGCACCAAGAGGCCGCGGCAGGACCTCACCACCGAGGACAAATTTTTCAAGGCGATCAAGCTTCTGAACCTTGGTAAACTCAATATATATATATATATACGCGATATCAAATGGAAAAAGCTGTCGCCGGGATCCGTGCTCGTCGTCCTTCCTTCTTTCTTTCCTTCTTCCTTCCTTCATCGACTGTCCTCGTTTCCATCCGTTCCTCGTTTTTTCGATCTGAAGGAAAGGAGAGAGAGAAAGAGAGGGAAGACGCGGAGCGATAATTGATCGTTAGTTATCTTATACGCTCGTTGTTCCTCCTGTATCAGGTATACCAACGTTAATGTACGGACTGGCAGCGACTTTATTGATCAGGCATAGAGAAATCGTGAAAACAGCCAGAGGGGACGTGGTGATCCATTTCTTGCTGCCCGAGGACAAAGGATCCATGTATTGAGATATACACGATGATATATGTATATCGGTATTTACACGAATAAAATTGTAAAGTTCAATGTATTTATCTTTAACGCGAATTTCCCGAATTATCCCAACGATATAAAATCCATATTCATATTCTCTGTCAATATTCAACTCGAACGACAGTGAGTAACATCCTGATTGCGTGTATTAATTACGAATTCAAATTATTAGTTAGGCATGCAAATTCGTATATAGGGGTTCGACGATGACTCGATTTCAGTTCAAAGAAGATAATGGCGTTTCAATAAGAAAGGAAGTGCGACACGTGAATGATGAGTGGCGTTTCTAATCATCCGCCAATAATCGATTTCGATGACCATATATACATATAGCAAGAGAAATACCATTTGATTCACCGTTTTCAATCCAATCCACGATGACTAACGTTCCTTTTATCCCGCGTAGGATGGAAGAGGAATACAATGGGAGAGAATCGAGACGTTCGATCGCATTGATATTAAATCGCATTTCGTTCGATGATTACAATTAAATCACGATCCACCGTTCAACGGATTTCCGATTAAGGAGATAAAAAAAGATTTTCTAAAAAAAGAATAAACCCTATAAGATAAAAACATTTTAAAAACAATTCCCTTGTTGGGAATTCGCGAGCCATAACGCGCGTTTCGAAGAAGACTGGTTAAACGAGACTGGTAGTAAAATTGCACGATACACAGAGAGAGAATTCCATGTGATTAATCTACGAAATTAATCTAATGGGACGCGTGTATCCAGAATTTCGATGAAGATTAATTCGATGGTTTGACAAGGGGATAAAAGTTGTAATTAATCGAGTGGCTTTCACTCGATCGGTTTGTATCCATCGGAATAAACTTTCACCGACCTGCGTCCAACCAGCTTTCAGTTATTGACCTTCAACCTTCAGGTGCACCGTAACGATGCCATCCTAGAAATCAATGGTATCGGTATATATATATATATACATATATATTCGATGGTGGAGAGACATCATCTCGAGAGGACGTGAAGTGTTCATGTTTCGTGCCATTCCATTTCCAATATATATATATATAAGTATCATTATTATACGCCTAATAAATATATTAAATTTATATTGGCGTCTATTACTATCGAATGTTACGATGTTCCATCGTGAGACGTTGAAAAGAAAGTTGTATATATATTCTTCCCCTTTTTTTAGAAATACTTTTTCCGTAAAATGTGAATATCGTGCTAAAAGCGTAAAAAAAAAAAAAAAAAAGGAAAATTTTTTCCAA